GGCAAGAGCCTGGAAGTTTCCCTGTAGGGAAACAGGCTGGGGCCTGTAGGCCCTGTCAGAAGGAAGCTTCCAGGCAAGAGCCTGGAAGTTTCCCTGTAGGGAAACAGGTTGGGGCCTGTACAGCATGTAACACACACACTCATACCGACAAGCACTCAGACAGGCACGCAGGTCACAAGCACGCACATACAGACCGACTTAGAAAACACAGCAGAATGCGGGAATCTCAGCAAGGCATCCATTCCATCGGCAGAACTTCAGAAATCAGCAGTGTTCTCAGTCTGTGTTTTGACCGGTCATTACAGGAGAAACAAAACAACAACAAAAAAAAAAACTAATACAAGCCATAGGTGCGGTTAGATTCATTCCTCAATGTTCTAGTGTGAGCACACCTCCTTCAGGGCCTTCCCCGACGTCGTTCCTTAATTTGCAGTTTATTTTTTTTCTTGTGCTGACCCTGCCCCGACCCCCGATCTTTTCGGAATGAGTCGTTTTCAATGAATTTCTTTTTCCTGGGCGGTGTACTTGTGGTTTAAGATGAGTTACACCGATGCACTGATTAGTTCCTGCCAACTTATTACAGATTATGTACCTCCACCACATGTTTGGAGATAACCTAAGGGATTTTCATCCTCCAAAAATGCCAGATTGTGTTCCTTGGAGAAATGAGATGATCCGTTAATTGAGCAGTTTGATGCACCTGGTCCAATGGCTGACAGGAGAAAAAGCTGTCCTCCTTTTCTTTTTTCTTTTTTCTTTTTTGTTTTCAGTGATCGGAAAATGAGCAATAGCGAAATGACAGAATTCCAAATTGCAAAATCACATTGAAACTTGAAAGCCAGATAGTCGTATGCTGCCCGGAAAGCAGAAATGCACTGATATCAACCTAAGGAGAACCAAAGCAGTGAGCTCAATTGTCAATAAAACAAGGCTGGGCTGGCTACCGGCCGTTTCACCTCCCCCGGTCCACCCAGCTCTGGACCAGCCCAGGGGGGCTGAACCGGAAAAACGGTTTTCAAAAAAATGGCCAGGATTTTTCGGTTTTTTTTTTTTTTTATCAACGGATTCGGACTGCGCTCTTCGAGATCTGTCCAAATCCGCAATAAAACTTGGAAGGTGCGAATTTGTTTTTGGGGGTTTCCCCAGATGGTGGAGGGCATACCATCAGGTGGGGTCAGGGAGGTTGGCCTTTATGTGGAGGGGTCAATTAAACTGCTTTACTTGACCCCCCCATGGCCTTTCAAATTTCAATTCGGCCCTACAGCACTTTATTGGTTTCTGCCATCGGGCATTGGCACGAGAGACTGAAGGACAGATGTTGCCGGGAGGTGCTTGCCCAAAGATATAGCTCTCGGGATACCACGCTCTAAAGCGAACAAGTTATGGGTTGAGGTTTCAGCTCGTGCAGGCAGAGAGCTTTCATTTTGTTTTTTCCCTTACACGGTGGGTCATCAGTCCACTTTCCTTTTGTTTTTCCTTTATACAGTGGGTCATCAGTCCGAAAGTATTTCCCCTCGTGATCTGTCCAGATACATGTAGTGGAGCGAGGTCCCTTCTTGGGCTTGCACCTCGGTCTGCCACTCTGATTTTACGAGCAGAAACCTCAAAGCATAATTTTCCCCCACAGAAAAAGGGATGTCTGAGAAGCATATAAACACAGCAAAGCCTGGACTAAAGCATGTCGTTTCTATCCTCCTCTCCACTCCGGTCGAAGATGAACACCTGTTTACTATAGCAGGTTTGTTGTCTCTTAGACTGCAGTGTCAATCTGAAACTAGCAAAATCCAATTAGAGACAGGACCCCGTGTTTTGACGAAAACACGTGGAAGTGGAGTTCAAAAGGCCCTGTTTGTTTTTTCGAAGTGAGCACACAGCACCCAGACTACGATCCTACAGCTACTACACTAGCCTACAGAAATGACAAGCAACCAGTTGACGTCTAGCCTACAGAAATGACAAGCAACCAGTTGACGTCAGCAGCAGCGACCAAAGTACATGCAGATGTCGACCATGCAGACCTCCGCCAGGACCAGGTACGTGCTCTCACATCACCTCTCCCTTCGCCAAGTCTATGCCCCTCCTTGTCTCACCTCCCACGTCCCATCACCATCCGAAGACCACTGCCAAACCCCGCCATCTATGTCTGCCCAGGCTCGGCTATGGCTGCCTGCGCTATAGCGCTGCGCACTAGCAGCGCCCTTACTTCACCCTGCGCCCGTGTGGGCACGACCGCTGCTCGCTAGCGGCCTTCAGTGCACTATCCAGCAGCGCTGCCTCTCAAACTTGCAAGTACCCGAACCCCCGACTCACGGCCAGGCACTTCGCTATATGCGAAGTGGCCTGGCCTGATGGCAGCCTGGCCTAGCCTCGCGTGTGCCCAGTAGGTTCAAGTTTGGCCAAAGTGTCTGTGCCCAGGCCCATTCAGACAGTGGCCTGGGACCGAATTGGTTAGGCCTGCCCAACGACCCAAGCGCAAACATGAGGTGTTCCCTGCTTCACTGCGTTGCCAGAAGAGCCTAGAAAGCTCACGAATGTTTCTGATTTTCACGAGCAGCGCGGATGTAACCAACTGGCGCGTGGCAACTGTCTGGCGGCCACCAAGACTTCGCAAAATTGACAAATTCAGGCCTCATTGAGATTCGGGGCCCACCTTTACTTAGGGTGGGCACATGCTTGCTGTAGCGGCCATATGCAGGTATGTTGAGGACTTAAAATCCTCACATTAGGAGAAGCAGCCTCCAGTTTCCCCTGGCAGTGCAGTTTTAGTTGTCCCCCACAAGACATGTCACACAGTTTTACATCAATCCTATCCCCCTGCTGGTGGAACCATGTCCTCATGAGATGTGGAACCCCTCCTCTGTTACTCCTGATCGTTTGCCACAGGCCGGGCATGACAATATACACCATTTTATCCACCGGGGTTCCCCTAGCTATCTTATTGAGCACGGTGGCAGTGTTTGGAAGCTGGGATAGTATTTGGGCCACGTTGGGGGGTTAAGTGCATTAGCTGTTTATAGGAAGCAAGCTCAGCTATATCAGCAACGTTTTGCATCTCTTCGCAGTATGAGACAGGCACTTTGTTCAGCAACCCAATAACTGCCCCATTTAGATCAGCTTTGTGGAAAACTGATCGACTGGATGCAAGGTGGGGATAGGTACTGAATCACTGATTCTCAGCAGGTCACCAAACTGAAGGCTTGCAAAAGCGATGGTGTGGTAAGAATCACCCGCCACATGGTGAAATCAGGACATCATGTTTTTTTCTCTAAGTTCCCTTAGCAATGGTGATTGGTGTCCAAAGCTCGCACCCTCCAAACTTCCAAAGTACCCACCATAGCCCGCTCCATCATCATTCAGAAAAACGGAAAATAAAAAACAACCGCCCACTCCCATCTTCCTCCCTTTGCTCCTAATTATGCAAAACAGTTGTGACGGCAATACCATTCCTCTCCTGAAGAGGATCGTGATCATTCACAAACCAAAGGACAACAACAGCTGAAGCGCGCGCACACACCCATCCACCCACCCACTGCCACACACAAACACGTGCACCCATCATCACACACACACACACACACACACACACACRCRCACGCACGCAYGCAYGCACGCACRCACACACACACACACACACACACACACACACACACACACACACACACACACACACACRCAKACCTYAMRTSTCCATTACACACATGCCAGGAACACACAGACACCCAGCAGACACCCTGATGAGAGGGGGTGGACAGGTGGTGGCAAGAAGGGATTGAATTGAGGAAGAGAGGAGGTAGGTGCCCCATTATCCGGCCAGCAGTGATTCAAAGTACCCACAACTGCAGAGCTGTGATTTGCAGACGAACAGAGCGGTTGTTTAAAAGAAAAAGAAACGGAGCTTCATCTGAAGAATGGTGGCTTGCAGATAGATTACTTGCAGGAAAGTAGAACAGAAGAACAGAGAACACTTACACTCCCATCATGCCAAAGTCGTAGAAGATCAGCCTCCCACCACCAACATCATCAACAGCTATATTCCCAGGGTGCTGTTGGCACCACAATCATCAAGACCAAACATGATCAAGCACAAGATGTCAGCTCTCTCTCAACCTTCTGTTTACTTTTTTCTTCTGAAAGGATTTCACCTTCCTAGTTTGCCGTGATTCCATCCTGGGACCTGTCACTGTTGTTGTTGCCCGTTTTGCTGTATTGTATGCCTGAGTGTTGCTGCTGAAGTTTGAACCCGGAACCTTGATGTTGAATTGCCTGTATGTTTCACCGTTGATGTACAGTGTGTTTGTGAGCGTTCACTGAGCCTGTGGAGTCTTGAACCTGAGAACTGTTCCTCTGTATGCCTAAAGTCAATGTTTGGTACCATTTGTGCAGTATGTATAGGTAGTTAATAATAAGAAAACAGCGAGATAAGATTAACACATCATGATCATCAAATACAAAGAATAATAAATAGATTTCATTTATTCTAATAGAAAATGGACAAGAATCTTTTTTTTGCATCTATTTCTATACCATAGACTATAATTTGCAATCAGACTTGTCTTCGACACAGTCAGCATGCGTGCAAACAGATGACGATCAAACGTGGCGACTTGCACCCACACAAAGCTCAGAGATAACATAGCCAGGAACACAGTTCAGATTCAAACTTGTCTTGTACAGCTATGGCGCATGAGCGCCAGACAAAGATTCCCACTCCATGAATCGTATCCACCAGCGACTCACTCATACACATGCACACACTCTGGATCTCCCTGGATGTCCCGCACACTCACACTCACGCACCCTGAATACACACACAGACTAACCTCCTACCTGGCAGCTATGGCTGCTGTCTACCTCCTACCACTAATTAGCGGCTATGGCCGTGTCTTCCTTCTCTTAGCCCTCTTCCTTTCCGGGCACCTGCAGACCTCCGTACACAAGACGCACAGGCAGCGCTTCCGCACGGCTCACAGGCAGAATGAATGAATGACTTGACACTGTCTCTTTATTTATACTTTGGATCGCCGTTGGTCTGCCCTTCGACCCTGGGCCCAGGGTGCGCACAGTCCCACATGGTACTTGCTGACTAGACAAAGTGCGACTGGGACTGGGTACCGCTGACTGGGCTAGGCAGGACTAGGACTGCCCTTTGCTGACTGTGCTAGGACTGCCCTTCGCTGACTCAGACATGGACTGACTCCTAGGACCTACGAAGAGCCAGCCTACAGACTTCTAGAAGGTCGTGGACTTGAACTTTCGGTAGCTGTAGCAGCTATGACCTACCCCACTGCCAAGACTCCTAAACACAGACCTACGGTTCAAGACCCGGCGACCGCACTATACACAGCAGCTGAACATACAACTTTGGGGTCACAGGTCGCGGGTTCAAACACACGGGTCAAGCCCTGGGTACTGGATCTTCTACAGCAGAGGTGAAAGCCATTTCACTCCCACCGTCCTAAATTCGAGGTCCTCTGAGAATACTTCAACGCAAGGGAGGACCTTTACCATGCCTTTCTCTATCGTAGGCGTGGACTATGTCGGGAGCGGTCTCTAAAAGCTCGGTTCTTGTGAACGAGCGGTCGTCCTCCGGCTCCTGATAAGCGAACCAAACTTTGAATTGCTTCTGTGGACGACCCCTACCTCCAGTTCTGAACACATCCTCTTCCACAATGTGATCTATATCATATGTGCCATCCATATCCGGCGGAATCATTGATCGATGCGACGAAAATTGCTGGCTGGTGACACAAGGTAACAACTTTGACGCATGGAAGACTGGGTATGTGTGGAGGTGTAGCGGTATCTCTATCATGTAGGAGGGTCCGTCCTCTCCACCTTTCACTTCTAGGACAGGCCACAGTCCTTTATATGCGGGTAACAAATTTTGTGAGATGTTCTCTTCGGGGGCGAACTCCTTGGACTTGACCCAGACTAAATCACCTACCCGGAACCTTGATGGCCGATGATGCTTATTAGCTTGCTCTATCATCTTGTGCTGAGCTTTTCTCAGATTGCCGGCCACCCTTGCGATTTCTCTCTCACGCTGCAGCGCAAATTCTCTACTTCCAGGTGGCAGTCTCTGTATCTGGTCGCGATTCAGTCCTTCAAACGACCTGCGAGGTCTAAAGGACTTGTGCAGCTCATTAGGAGTTTGACAAGTAGCTAGTTGGGCACTGTTATTGTGGGCGCTAGCTACTTAGAGAGCATCTCATCCCAGTTAATTTGATCAGGTCAAATATACATCCTGAGTATCTGCTGGAGGATCTTATTCATACGTTCAGTCTTACCACTAGTCTCTGGATGACGGCCAGATGACATCAACAACTTCGAGCCATAGACTCGCATAAGTTCCTGCCAATGCTGACTAGTAAACCACGTATCTCTATCGCTAACTATAGATAGCGGAACACCATGCTCACTTGCCCAGGCATCAAAAAACTTCTCTATCACTAACCCTGTGCTTGGCTCAGAGGGCAAAGGAACAAAAACTGCATACTTGCTAAATCGGTCAACTACAACCATGAGTTGGCTCTTTCCATGCCTACTCCTGACCCCAGCATCCATAAAGTCAATGGACACGGACTCTCCAGGTCCTGAAGGGATAGGCAAGGGTCTGAGAACACCCAATGGAGCTCGCTTCGTAGTTTTGTTGCGTTGGCATACTTTACAACTGCGGACGTGAAATGTCTTTGAAAAAGAAATGTCAAAAAAAAGAATTTAATTAATTGTAAAATGTTTTCGAATTACAAAATTTTCAGAAAAGAATTAGGTAAAATTCTTTTTCGAATTTCGAAGAAGGAATGCCGAGAAAGAATGATTAATCCTACGTATTTTCAAAAAAAGAAAATATTTTTGAAAAAGAAAATATTTTTGAAAAAGAAAATATTTTTGCAAAAGAAATGTCGAGAAAGATAGTTAATTAAGAATTTACAAGAATTTCAAATGGATTCTAAAATAAAAAAATAATAGATAAAGGAATATAAAAGGGCCTTTACCCGATATAGGCCTCAGGCCTTGTAAAAGTAAAGCAGCACGGGCCTTATAAAAGTAAGGCATTGTGAAAAGGTATCTCGCCAGAGCTCAGAAACGTGAAAGCAGGTCAAAGGTCAAGTTCTCTATCAACAGGCACATCTAAATCTAAGGCAAAGGGCATTGTCAAANAAGTTCTCTATCAACAGGCACATCTAAATCTAAGGCAAAGGGCATTGTCAAAAGACTTACCTGTTCACCAGGAGATGTGTATGTCATGTCTGTTCGGGTAAGAGTGTGTCTGTACGTGCAAGCAGTGTACCTGTTCATGCAAAGGAAAGTGTCTGTTCAAGCAGTAAATGTGTCTGTTCGTTTAGAGTTGTGCCTGTCCGAAAATAAAGTCAATAGGCACAGTCCCAGTTCTGGTCTAAGTCAAGGGGTCAGTCCAGATCCAGACTTTCAAGTCCAAATCCAGGCCGAGAGGCCTCCGCAGCAGTTGAACTTCATTGGGACTATACTGGGACACATGCAATGCAGGGTCTGGGACAAAGGAAAGGCCGAATTGAGCCAATGCAGACCCAGAGAGGAGTGGCCAACACTATAAAGGGAGCTGCCTGCCTCATTCCTCGCCAGATCTCCACTGGCTGCAATGCGTGGAAGTGCTGGTGCTCTTGTGGGCTGAGTCAGGAGGAGCAGCGCTGGAGGTAGAAGATGCGCTGAATGGAGGAAGAAGCCTGTACGCTGGAAGGGATGCAGCCATAGCTGCCCAGCGAGTTAGCATTAGTAGTAGAGGGTTAGTATGTAGCTATGAGTAGTATCCAGAGTAGATCCTCATGAGTGAAGAGTGTGTATGCATCGTAGGAGGAAGGGACTGGGGCCGAGAGTGTTCATTCAAGGTTCGGCTATGGAAGATACTTACCTGAGTTGGATGTGACCTGTAGAGGTGGCGCTGATGAGTAGTGACTACATTCATGACTTGGAGACTACCTGCAGGAGTAGCGCTGATTCACTGGAAGTCATATTGATGAGTTGATAAGAGATTGGTGTTGCGCTGATGAGCGCTGGACTCAGGGGAACTTTGAAACACTTTGTATTCATATTTCTGATAATATAAGCTGTGAAACTCGGTCCTCTTCTCATCTACCTTTGTCTATGACTGAGACTATTGATCATGGTGTGTGAGGAGGATGCATGACATGCACACACTTGCGTGAAAGGGTCCCCAGGACCCATGCAAAATTTTGGTATCGGAGCTGATGCTCGCTACACTCATAGCGCTGGTCTGATCAAGGCCGGCGAGAAGAAGTGGTGATGGAGGAAGAGTGAAGGGGGGAGGAAGAGAAGAAGGGTCGATACTGGGGGAAGCAGGCCGAAGAAGAAGGGGCGAAGTCTACTTACCTGGAGCGTGCGGAGCGTCGTGGAGCAGCATCGGCGGAATCTTCAAGAAGAGAGAAGCACCTCCTTTCCCTGAACCTGCATGCATGTGTGTGTCCCCTACCTTCTCTCTCTCTGACCCTCTGAAGGTGACTGCTGCTGATCTGGTCAGGAGTCGAAGTCTGGATCTGGGTTGTCATAGGGTCAGGTCTGAGCCGTCAGAGTCTGATGACCCAAGTGTGATGTGTCAGGAACTGGTCACACTAGAGTAGGTGGYCCAGTGTTCTGCGAATAGGAGTAGGTCTCTCTCCTATCCCTCTTGATAGGCAGGCTGGGTATCGTCATCAAGAACCAAGAATCGATGTGGGAAGTGGCTATGTGCCACGTCAGATAGCAGGTACCAGGCAGCATAAGGATGATATTGAGCATCTACAGGGCCTGTTAAGCCCGAAAGAAAGAAAAGGGGTAAACGAAGTATTTCTGCCTGGTTGGATAAGTGAACTATCTGCATCTGACCTTCTGCGCTGTACTCCATACCTGCATCAGACACCCAGCAAGTTAGTAAAAGAAAGAAAAAAGTATATATCAAGAGAGACAAACACATTGCCATATATAAAAAAAAGGCTATGCAGATTCAACAAGCAAGCATTATTTTAATTTGATTTGTTACCTGCACCACCTTCTACAGTCCACAAAAAAA